AAGTCCATGTTTTTAGCCGTGTTTTCTTCTTCTTCTTCTTCCGAAAGGATCTTTGAGGACGGCTGAAAAGACTAGGAAAAATATCAGGCAAAATATCAGGCTGATTGTCATCACTTGAAACCTATTTGTATAAACACGCCCCCTTCAAAATATGGGCGACGGCTTTATTCCTAGAAAATGTTCTTCAGTGTATCTAATTTGTTTTCCATCACTCTCATTATCCTAAAAATGTGTTAGTTCCCTAAGTGCGATATACATTAGAGTTAATTAACGAACTCCATTTAGAGACAAGAATTTAATCATAAATTTGAACATCGTGTAAAATTATTTTGTTTCATTAATAAACTCTGGAAAGGGATGCTGATGTCATTTTAAAACTGGAAGGTTTAATTTTTTATCCTTCCTATCAACTAGACATACTGTCATAATTCCCACTAAATATGGGTCGAAACTAAATTCAAATATATTGCATAATTGAGGAAGAAGAGCCCGCAAGTCTGCCAATCTGGGAGTGACCTCATACCCTGCGGTTGTGTGGTTTTTCAGCTGACCTAGATTTGACCTAGTTGTGGAATAACTTGCCCCAAGATTTGAAAGGCGTTGGTTCTATCGGGAAGTTTAAACGGGGTATTAAGAAGGTATCTGAGATATCGGATTCCCACACGGCAATCATGTAAAACAGTTGTAATAGTTTTAGTTTTTAGCTTTAGCTTAACTTATGATTCTCCGTGTATAAATAAAGTTCACATCAAGATATTTTTTTCTTTTCAGATAGTCAAAGTTAACGATAAAACAGAAAAGTACCTGTTAAATCGAATACAAGCTATATGAATATTTGGAAAGTGATCAGTAATTATAAAACCACCTGGAGGAAGTGGAAGAATTACGTTCTTATAACTAAGTGGAAGGGCCAACCTAGAGAATATTTGATTGGCTCGTGGTCGTGGAGTTCGTCTTGACCAAGAGCCCTATAAGTTTTCCCGTAAGGCTCGACTTAATGGCGACTTTATCATACGACCGCCATGGCCGTTGTTTCTCTTTCTTCCTCCTTTTTCTTAGCTGGCATCTCGTGTGGGCGAACGGCTTTTAAAACCCTTCTCGCACTATTGCGTACGATCCGCTCATATGAGGATGTTTTGCGATAAAATCGTGGACAGGGCCTGATGGCTAATATGATAATGTTGTTGTTGTGCCTATTGAATTATCGTAATCTTTAAGGTTTCATTGCAAAAGAAAGTCGTTCTTTTACACCCCTCACAAGTCTAAATTTATTCTTGCTTTCGCGTTACCAAAGTCCACTTCGCCGGTCTGAAAGTTTACGTAAGTGACGTAACACCTATATTACATACTTTTTTCTTTCCAATGTTTGCCTTCCCATCCTTAGGATGAGCAGTAACGGGGACCTTAAAAGTGGGAGCATCTTTTTCCTTGCCATTCCATGCAAAAAGCATTTCCTTGGCCTTTACGTAAGGCGCCCTGTAGTGAAAATCAATTGGGCGGTGGGGTTTAAGTGGCTTCAACTTTCCACGGGGATCTTGCCGGCACGTCCTTAAATTCTCGCCGGTTCTGTGTTTTCCTGCGATCGTGATGTGAAGTTGATAAGACCCAGTGAAGAAAAGTGTATTTTACAAAATATGCTACAGATCGGAAGCAGTTTATATGACAAGTAAGCAAGGAAGTAAATAGATACCTAAGAGACTACCTTAACAAGAATGCTAATATTCGAATAATTACCTGATGCAGTCATCTTTTGTTGAACTTTTGTCACAGCTTTCGCTTCTTTTTTTTTACCTGATTTGAACTCCTCATTTCCTGAGTTGATAAAACAAAACATTTAAAAATCCTTCATAAAGACTTCACAGTTAAAGCAAAGGTGTATGTTTATGACATTCATGCAAAGCTTCTCCCGATAAATTCTCAAATATGTTGAAAAGACGTTGGATGTTTTGTAATTGACAGGAATTTAGTCCCCCTCCAGATTTCTACTTTAGTGTCTTTCACAAGGATTCTCTAAGTTGTATGGATTACGTACCTGGTACCATATTCACTTGTTGTACTTTAACTTGAGTTTTCTCTTCTTTCCGTTTCGCAGTTTTTGACTCCTCATTTCCTAAGATAATATATCAACACAAACGTTTTGCACACCATTTAAATAAAAGGTCACCGATGTTTTATACACAATTCAAATGATAACAGGAGTTCTCAATGAAACAGATGCACAGTAATAATCCGCAGTGAATGTTAGCTCAAAAAATGATGTCCAAAAGACCGCCTGTTTCGTTAAAAAAGGAGAAAATGCAATCATGAAAAATTATACAAGCTAGTAGCTGAGGTATTATTATTACGATTAGCACTACAATTTATTGAGGTTTTTCGACAGAAATTACAAAACCGTACAAGAGTAACTACAACAACATTACATTCAGTGAAATTACTTACAAGAAGCGGTGCAGTGTGATGCATTTATGATTTAAGCAGTTTATAGTTTTTAATCAAAAGTGTACGATAATTTTTTTTAAGACAAAAACGATAAATCTGTAGTAGTAAGCGAGTGAATAATTACCTGATACAGTCACTTTTTGTTTCACGTTTGTCACAGTGTTCGCCTCTTTTTTACTTGATTTGACCGCTTTATTTCCTGAGTTGATAAAACAAAAACTTTTCAAAACCTTTTGAGTATATTATCCTAAAAAACAAACAAACAAACAATTCACAGATACAGCTAAAGGGTATGGTTCATGCAGTTATGCAAAACTACTCGCCATAAACTATCAGAAGCGTTGAAAGGACGTTGGATGACATATTATTGACAGGAATTTGGAAAAGAATTGTTTTCCTTCATTTGTAACAGTCACAGAACTGTAGTGGCATAAACCCCTCCACATTTCCATTATTTCCTTTCCGTTGCCAATTTTTTTAGTTGTATTTCATGAGTTGTATACGTACCTTTTACTGTGTTCACTTGTAGTTCTTTAACTTTGACCTGCTCCTGTTTCCGTTTTGCAGTTCTTAACTCCTCATTTCCTGAGATGATATATAATAAAAAGTTTTTTGCACTCCAATCGACTGAAAGGTCAGCGACCACGATTATTGATGGTCTGTATACCCTACCGATCGCGTAAAGGCTATCGAGCCTTAATGACCTCTGGGGCTAAACCAGGAATAGGGTGGGTAGAAGGACGTAAAAAGACACACTGTAAGAGTCATTTTTCAAAAGCCATTTCTTTTCGCAAGTATTCTTAAGGTTGACTGTTGCATACGTACGTAGTGCCGTGTTTTCTTGTGGTACTCCAGACTGGGTTTGCTCTTCTTTCCTTTCTTCAGTTTTTATCTCTTCATTTCCTAAGATAGTAAATCAACAGAACTTGAGTATCCTGTACTCCATTAAACGATGGTGCAGGTACCTTATCGATCGTACCACAGGTAGGATGAGTGGCTTGCTAGACAAAAATAGTCCGCGTTTTACTAGTCCGCGTTTATCTAGTCCGTGTTTTACTAGTCCAGTCCAGTCCAGTCCAGTCTGCGAAATACCATATGCCGTAGCAAAGGGGTCGGTTTACATGGAGTAATAGGGAACTTAAGCAGTCAGGACGGCAACGCCATGGAAGACGTCGATTAAAAAATGAGTTTCTACCTTTGGTTAGAATTTCGAAAATGGCTGCATGTGTTGACCGTCCAATAGGGCGCCAGACCTCAAACTTGACATAACACATAAAACTAGCGTTGAGTTCCAAATGTATATTAAAATAATTTGCCGCCACGGATTCGGTTCGCAGACGACGCAAATTTTGGTGATTTCACGTTGTTATTTTGCAAAGGACGGCTAAGAAATGTGCAGTTTTAAAATGCACTTGTTGGGCTATTGTTCTGCAAATTAGATCTATTGTTTTTCCACGTTCACGTTGCCGTCGCCGTTGTGGTTCGCTTAAATTCCCTAATACTCCAACTCGGCCACTGCTCTTGTCCAGCACCAAATGAGCAAATCTCTTATTCCTACCTAACAGTTTATCGGCAGCTTCTGTCTGGTTTAGTTTGTAGAGGACATCTATTAGAATACCCAATGTGGCCCCATTTCCTTTTCTTTGTTTCCACTTGATGAGCACTTTCCAAATCTTCTGACGGTTTGAATCATTCTCTTCTTCAATATTCAAAAACTCAGGTGTTGGAACACCCAAACAAGCACCTAAATCCATCGTTATAGGTTCTACGTGATCAACTATTGCCTGAATATGTTTCGAAGAGACTCTTTGCTGATGATCATTTTCTCCTGCAGTGTCTGCGGTAGAGAGATTTTGACATTAACCATAATATGTATCGTAAGTAGTTCCTGGTCAGTTCAGTCCCTCCCTGACCCTCAAGTTTTATTTTGGAGCATTTACCTTGGGGTAATTAAAAGCAACAAAGAACTCTGTTTCATACTATACTAACCTCTACAGACTCAGCGCGCCGTACCTAATATTAAGCCTTCTCTCCCAAACGTTCTCATTAAAGAAAGGTGTTATAAGCAACTATTCCGCTTGAAAGTATCTGTATTATAAATAGCTACTCTGCTTTCTCTTGAATGCATTTGTAGTATTCTTATCAGAACTAATAACAAGCACAAGATGGAATGAAAAGGGTCTGTGCACCTTAATTTCTGAGGTACACAATATAATGGATTTTGTTGCAGTACTTGTTCTATTTATTCGATTCGTGAATGTCTTATTTTTTTCTGCATGGTTTCTTGATAGACTGAGTCGACATTCCCTTCACACTTTGTTCCCAGCTTATCCATCTTTATTACTTTTGCCAGTTATAGCTGATTTAACTTGTTATTTTGCCCTGTTGTGAATGGTTATGTTTGACACCCCAATCCAAATCATGGCAGTTATTTCAACTAGCCAATTTGCCACTAGGGCAGACTTATGCT